GACACTGACGAGTGTCACATTTTGAAGAGATAGATAGATGAACTAATTCAGCGAGGATACTTTAGTTAGTGTGTGAAGTGTCCATGGCAACAACAACATCAATAGCAGGGCCAACCCAATATTGTGTGGCGAAAGGGTGAGGGCCCCGAGTCATCTGCCTCTAGCATGAAAAAGAAGGGGTACGACTATATCATGGAGAAAGGAGACAAAGAGTTAGCGGAGGAACCCACGCAACGCAAAAAACAAGTTATTCACTGAGAAGTAAAAGATCAACAATAAGATTAGTGTAATTATTGGTCATGGACCGCCCGGATCAATCTTGTTGAATAATTCTTTTTTAAACTTGCTTCTATTTTAATTCACGGAGTCCTTTGTGTTAGTAGAGTGGGAGCACTATGGGCGAGGCATGTCCTTAATTACCATGGTCGAGACTTGTCCTCAGCCAAGAAGAAAAAAGGGGCCGGCCAAGGCAGTGTTCTCAACCTCATTTCACCAAGGCATGTCCTCGAAAAATAATAATAATAATAATAATAATAATAATAATAAATTTCATGCCCAAAGGATGTGGGGGGTTAGACCATCCCAACCCGCCGAATGTAGTGATCCCTTAGCTACAAGTACACTAAAAGTGTTGGCTATGGCTCGCTATTGCCCACAACTCTAATGGGACCACGGGGTCCAACCCCTACGACACCCAACGAGTAGTGGATTCCATTGACAAATACTTGGTGATTTACTCGATGGCATCCTTGGCAGCACCTATGCCTGAGTTCAAACCACGACGATTCGAAGTAGAATTTCGTGACTTGCCTCGACTACATAAAAAAAAAAACAAACAAAAAACAAAACAAAACAAGAAAAAAAACAAACAAAAAATAAAACAAAACAAGAAAAAAAAAACATCTTGAGAACCAACCTCAGCCCAACGCCAAGGACTCGGCTGCAATGGCCAGGAACTCTCATCGGTCGTAGTGGCTGAGGACTCTCCTCGACCATGGCCGAGACCAGTCCTTCGCCACTGGCCGAGTAGAAGCCATGTTCTCGGTCGGTGATTCGATAGTTTAAACTATGGGTGGGCGTTTCGGGTTTCGATTCGGTTTTTTTCGATTTTGATTTTTTCGGTTTTAAAAAAATTAAACCATTCGGTTTAACATTAGAGTTCGGTTCGGTTTGAAACGGTTCAGATTTAATTCGGTTCGGTTTAAGATCCCCTAATTTCAACATTTTCTAATTTTTCGAACATACTACCAAACAAATACATATTCACACAATCACATAATCCAAATCCAAACTCTAAACATTATATAACAAAATAGCAATCCAAAATTCAAACACAATACTAAGTACTAATTACCAAGCATCAGTTAACTTTTTTGCAAAACCGACTCTTCAGTTGGTTCATTTGGAATATTTTTATTGACAAGATGAATAATCATCTACCTGTATAGTTGATATTAGAAGAACAAGGGTAAAGTACTATATAGTTAATTTTTGGACACAATCTGTCATTGCTAGTGCACTTATAATATATTCTAGTACTAGAAAATAATTCTAGTGCACTGGAAATCAAAATTAGAATGCCTGTAAAGCACCTTAATTTATAGAAACATGAAACTAAGGGAAATACTGAATAGTGTAAATATAACTCAAGTTAGATATAATTGTGAGATACAGAACAATTGCGACAAACAACAAAAGTGCAATGTAGAGAACAAGCTATAAAGAAATCAAATAAAAAATTTAAGGGAGATACCAATGAGAATAAGAACTAAACGGCAGAGCAGGCATCAAGGGACTTGAATTTACTTTTTTTTTTTTAATAATAATAATAATAATAATAATAATAATAATAATAATTATTATTATTATTATTATTATTATTATTATTATTTATTAAAAAAATCATATGATATTCGGTTCGGTTCGATTTTTATCAAATTGTTCATTTTCGGTTCGGTATTGAACCGTTCGGTTTACAAGAATTCCGAACTGTTCAATTTTCTATTACTAGTTCGGCTCGGCTCGATTCGATTCGAATCGAATCGATTTGGATCGGATCGGTTCAGTTCGGTTCAGATAAAGTGAACCGAAGTGCCCATCCCTAGTTTAAACTCTTATAGAAATACAACCACATCTTTCATTTAAACTCTTATATATTTTATAATAGTTTATTTTTCCTAAAGTAATGCAAGTTTTTCCCAAAGTGATGTGTGTTTTATCCAAAATTTTGTGTGTAGATATCATCCATCCATGTATAATGTATTGCTTTGTGCTAAAAGCATGAGATATGCATTTAAGTTAGAAGAGACGTGTCACCTCATTTATATTTCAGTGAATAAATAGTTATTTCGTTTTAAGTGGAACAATTGTTCTTAAAAAATAGGGAAAAAGGTAAAATAAGCTCCTAAACTTTACCTAAAAAGTCAATTAGGTCTATGAACTTTTAAAAAGTGCAATTACACCCTTTAACATGTTAACTGGAGTCAATGAAATCCAACAACCTGTAAGTGACCTACTATTGCAGGTCATTTCTGTATTCCGGCGAAATTTCGGTGGCCAGTTGGCCGTAACCGTGGCAAGGAGAAAACTTCGGGTTCCGGAATTCATCCTTGGCGAGAATTGTACAGCACAGATGGGGAACTATCTAGAATTCCTCGACGGTAGTTGCGACCACGAAGCACTATCGTCGCCGTCGACATAAGTGCACCACCGCCAACCCCGCCGCATGCAGCTTGCCACCACCACACTCCCCACTCCACATGAAACCAACATAACAGAATCTACTCATCCATGGTTCTAGTTTTACGATCGATGAATTGAATTAGATTAAATGCTGAGATTAACAATTGGATTCAGAATTCTTTTGAATTTAAGCATTATATTAATGGAGGAATTTGAAGTTGCAGACGGCGGAAACCAAAATATTGGAAGAAACGCGTTGAATTTCAAAGATTATAACTTCCTTTAATCCCATAAGCTTCAGCTAAGCCATTGAATCTTCTCCTGCAGTTTTGCATGGAAGCTTCTAGCAGTCAATTTTCATGTTTTTACTTTTTATTATGAAAAAACACCCATTAAACATGTTAAATGAATTTAATAAGAACGTTCTTAAATTCTAATGTTGGGCAAAGCTTAAATTTATGTTCGCAGTTGCCGGTCGCCGGAATTTCACCGGAATACAGAAATGACCTACAATAGTAGGTCACTTACAGGTTGTTGGGCTTCATTGACTCCATTTAACAAGTTAAAGGGTGTAATTGCACCTTTGTAAAATTTATGAACCTAATTGACTTTTCAAGTAAAGTTTAGGGGCTTATTTGACTATTTTCTCTAAAAAAATATTATTCTCAGAAAAAAAAAAAGCAAATATTTTTGGAAATAATAATGCATTAATGCTTATTACTTGTTTCCAGTACATTAGTCTAGTGAATGAGAAATCTAACTTAGTACTTACTTAAGCACTTGTTATATAGTGGACCATGATCCACACAATGCTATGTGGATTATGGGTCTAATACAATTGCCAAATGAAATTGTACTAGAGTTAAAATGATACTTTAGTGTTGTTAAAATGAAACTACCATGTGTGAAAAATGAAACTAAAAAATAGAGCTCATGCAATAACATATAGCATATATTGTCAAATAAACATGAAGTGTAATTAAAATTATACTTCAACATTACTATAATTAAACTAGTGTGTGTGGAAAATGAAACTAAAAGAATATAGGTCATGAAATAACGTATATTGTCAAATAAAATTATAGTAGAATTAAAATGATACTTTAGTGTTACTATAATGAAACTAGTATACGTGAAAAGTGAAACTAAAAATAAAAAATAATATTATCAAATAAAACTGAAATGTAATTAAAATGATGCGACAGTTTTGTTTTATTGTCCATGCTGCTACAATGACCATGGTCCACAATAAAATTTGCCTTACTTAAGTGTTTAGACTTATGTTCATGAAATTTAAAGATATACTCCCCGCGAAATGGGAAAACTTTGAGTTATTGAAAAAATCTTTATCTTTATATATATATAATAAAGCAGAATCTAGCCACAAAATTTTTCTTCCAAAGTGTGAATGTATTTTGATAAAAATAAGATTAGCAAGTATGATGCATTAATTGTGTAGGTAGATGTATTTATACATATTTTTTTGAAGTTATTATGTGTATTTATATTTTATAAATTATATTTTATTATTATAGCTCTATCTCTATCTGTATATATATTAAAACATAATAAAGTATGGAAAAAAATTTATTGCGTTCAAATTTATTGGTAAAGTTTTATATTTAATATAATTTGTGTATATATTCATTTAAACCTCAATTATAGTTAATTTGACTCCACATATATAAAGATGAGAAATTAGATATAAAATAAATATAGTTTTTACATAAATAATCTTTTTCAAATGAATAAGTTTTTGGTGGAGATTTTCGACAAATATCACCTGTTATTTTATTTACCAAATTTATTTAAATACGTTAGTTATATAATTAAAGTAATTATTTCAAATTCAAATTCCTTTCAAACAAAATAATTCAAATTCAAATTCAAATAATAATAAAGTAACAATAAACTTTAAAATCAACATAATAACAACATAATTAAACTTTTAAAAGTATTAAATATTACATTTTACAGTTATACTTAAATTTTTAATCAAACTAATTCTGAGCTCAAGAACTCAAGTACATTTTTCTGTTTCCACAATCATTACTTTCTTTGCTAATTCAGAGAAAGTAAAAACTTCAATTGATAAATTTGTTAAATTAATAATAGTTCATGCATTGCACGAGACAATTACTAGTATATAATAATGCTTATTACAATGTACTTGTTGCTGTAAATTCCTAGGTATTCTTCTATGTTGTTGTGGCCTAAGGATAACCTTGGTCATACATTTAATTAATCGCTTAAAATAAGCCGCCATGTGTTGCAAAATTATTGGCATACCATTTCTATATATTCACCTCAACCGTTCCAATTACGCACATTTTCTGGACTTCTGGGTTGGGTTGGGGAGAGCTGAAAAGATAGGAACTTTCAGCTCCTCATCTCATCACACCTGACACCTCATTCAACATCTCTTATCTTTTCCTTCTAAAGTAATACATAAACCATATAGAGAGACGTATATAGTGATACGATACCCATTATTCAACGATCCAAGATTCTCCCTTTCCCACATTTCCCTTTAAATTTCTGTCTGTCTGTGTGATCCGTTCATTTCCAAGAACGATTATGTCGGTTCCTGATTCTGATTTTCCGGATGGATTGCTGCTCCCTAACAATTCTTTTGTCAAGGAACGGGAGAAGATCATCATAGACACGGATCCTGGAATTGGTGATTTCATTTCATTCATTTATCAGTTCTTGTAATCTGAGATTAATGTTGCTGTAGTTTCGTTCAATTTGGTTATAATTGTGGGTTTTGGAGTCTGTGCACTAAATGTGGCATCTCTGTGTGGGTGTTGATGATCTGGGTACTAGGAACTAGGAAGATTGGATTCGTATTCTTGTTGTGTTTGTTAATATGGTTGAATCTTTAAAGTGCTATTGAAAAGGCTGCTTTTTAGTTGCATAGGTTGCTATGTATACGTAAGGTTGGTCTTCCCATTACTCTTTTTATGTGGGTGGGGAATGGGAATACTTCACTTTTATTTGATCCTTTACACAGTGATTAATCTTAAGACATGCTCACATAAGCCCCACACCCTACAGATGCAAGCAGTAAACTTGGTTTGAGAATGGGATATTTTATGGTGCTTTTGAGTTGTTATAATGTTTTTGTGCTATCTCATAATTGTATTCTTATCTGAAAAGATAGTATCAAAAGGTACTTACATTTTGGATTTTGATATAATATGCTCTTCAACTTGGTAGCATTTGATACTATCACTGTGGGTTACACTAGGATTTTGAGATGCTTTATATTTACTCAAGTGGGATAAACCATGAAATTGTACTATTACATTATGTACAATGCCTTTTAGAGTCTTAATTATAGATATGTTTTGGGTTGATGGCTTCATCCCTAAAGTTTGTAGACCTTTAAGTTTGAAGTTCCATATTGTTTGTCCTTTTAACACGTGAGTACTAATGGGCACCCAGATGATGCTATGGCAATACTAATGGCATTCCAAACACCACATTTGGAGGTATTAGGATTGACAACAGTGTTTGGTAATGTTAAGACACAAGATGCTACACGGAATGCATTACTTCTGGTACGCCTCGCCTTGTTCATCTATCCTACTTGAGGAGAGCAGCAATTTGCACTTTTCATAATTCGGGCCTTTTGTCTATCCAAAACATGTTCATGATCAAATACCTTTTTTTGTTGTACAAAAGCATAGTGTGAGATCGCAGGATGTCCTGGCGTTCCTGTTGCAGAGGGTAGCTACGAACCACTGAAGGTAATAGTTTGACTGCCAAGTGGTATCTAAATTTTTTAACCCTTCGATCTATGTGCTTCTTCTTGCTTAGCTCACCTAATTTTCCTGATGAAGTTTGTATATAAGTGTATGGCTACTGGTTTACATGCATTAATTTTGATATATATCCTCTGAGAATTAATCAGTTCCTGACAGATTTTTCTATTACAATGCCAATATTTGTTTATCCAGTCCATTAATAATATGCCAAGCTCAAAGATAATGTCCAGATTCATGGCTGTGTTTAGTTCCACAATTTGCCACTAAGGAGTAAAAGATTATGACAGCTGATAGTTTTGTGGAGTTGAATAGGACATTACATACAATATTAGCAGTTATTGAAATGAATTACAAAAGAATTTTATTTTGTAGGACAGATCTTCTGCACTCTATGCATTGTAATACGTTGTTTTTTTTTTTTTTTTTTTTTTTTTTGCTTTTCAAGAACCCAGTGAGTTTTCACGTTCTGACAGATTGTTTCATACCTCGGATAGGCTCCCATAAAAAAACATTTAACTTTAAATATTGAATAAGGAAATTAACCAGTAAGTCATCTCTAATTCTAAATGCATCTAATTGGCAACTAAAATTTGGGTCATTTACCTTCATTCTAAGTAGAGAGTTCTATTTGCATAACTTACACGGACTAAATACAATTCACAAGCTAGTGCTGAACTGCTGATTGAATTAATGGTTTTAATTATATCATCATTTTCCTTGAAATGCTTTTGGTTCTGGTCCTGAAAGGACACCATTTTTCCTTGAAATGCTTTTGGTTCTGGTCCTGAAAATGATACCATTCATGTGTAGTGAATTTTCTTAGCAAGACCATTCAAATAAATGTGTATTTATTGTGGCTTTCCTGCTTGCTTGACTTATGAATCACGTATTGAAAGTTTTCTAGCTGTTTTACATGGCATCAGGGAATCATCGCCTATCCTCCCTTGACCCACCGCAGTTGACCTTTTTGATATCTTCACCTAACCTACCATGGGTCGGTACCCACCATTAGTCTTTTTAAGAGAATAAACCCAAAATACCATGATCAGTGTGGATACCAGTAGATTGCCATCCCTACAGATTTTCTGTTACTATTAATATTAATCAATACTCAATAGATATGATTATAATATTTGTTTTGTTAAGCCTTGAACTCTTCTCTCCTGTTTGCAGAGGGGACATCCACGTATTGCAGATTTTGTACATGGTTCAGATGGATTGGGTAACACAGATTTACCTCCTCCAAAGTCCAAGAAAATTGAGAAGACTGCATCTGAATTTCTGGTTGATAAAGTTTCTGAGTACCCTGGTGAAGTAACTATACTTGCTCTAGGACCTCTCACAAACTTGGCTTTGGTAAGTTGGATATATTCTATTCTATTTGGCACTATACTTTTATCATCACACTATCTTCGTTTAGGCTGTCAAGAGGGATTCAACCTTTGCAAGCAAGGTGAAGAGAGTGGTAATCCTTGGTGGTGCTTTCTTTGCTTTAGGAAATGTTAATCCTGCTGCCGAAGCCAATGTACGTTGTTGTATCCTATTTCATTTCTTTGGTTCAAATTTTAATTTCTTTTTCAGTTTGAGAAACTCTGCAGTAATTTAGTTCATTCTTCTCGGCTAACTACTACTGTTTAACATGCTCTTTCCATAAATTGTTAAAACCATACAGTTAAGAGTAAGAATTTCATCTCCGCTTTGAAAATGCAGATCTTTGGGGACCCAGAAGCTGCAGATGTTGTGTTCACTTCTGGTGCAAATATTGATGTTGTTGGCATCAACATTACAACACAAGTCAAATTGACGGGTGCTTGCTTCTTCCTTCTTTCCTTCCTTTGTAAACTCCTCCATAATCCATATCAAGTATTCTTTTCGTTAATCGTAAGTTTATTGTGCTTTCAGATTCTGACCTTGATAGTCTGAGGCAATCTAAAGGAAGATATGCTCAATTCATATGTGATGCATGCAAATTCTACCGAGATTGGCATGTGATGTCCGATGGTGTTTATGGTAATCTTCTTTTGCGATTGCATTAACAATAACAATAGCAATAGCAATAGCTTCACGACCACGTACTTTCCTTTACTCTTTTCAGGAATTTTCCTTCATGATCCTGTCAGTTTCGTGGCACTAGTCCGACCTGATCTCTTTTCATTTAAGAAAGGGGTTGTGAGAGTTGAAACACAGGGCATTTGCGTAGGCCACACGCTTATGGACCAAGGCCTAAAAAAGTACGTCGCTTGCTTTCTACTTACCATTTTAGAGAGAGCTTCTTACTACTAAACTTCTCATTGCACTCTCTACTGATGCAGATGGAATTCAAGCAACCCGTGGTCAGGCTATTCCCCGATTTCAGTTGCGTGGACAGTCGACGTGGATGAAGTCGTGAATTATGTGAAGAATATGCTAATGAAACCATGAGATTTTCATTCTCTTTTCTTCAAGGAAAATCCCACTCTCAACATTTCATTTCTTGAAAACCAAAGTGAATTATCTGCAATTCTACAAGTTTCTTTTATGGCAGTTTGTGAGAAACATTGTCCAGAATATGGTTTTAACTTTGTTGTTCACGTTAACGACATCAACTGCCAATTGACATCTATAAAGCTTTTTCAATCATTTTTTTTAAAGGATACTATGATTTTGCTTATCTAAGATAAATGGAATTGGGCAACCCCAAGTGAGTTGCTCAGGTAGTGACTTAATAATTTTAAAGTTTTAAGTTCCACTCCTCGAGGGAATTGCCTATTGGCTTTCTCAGTTTCACTTGGAGTACACTTTTGGACCTATTAATCATAATGTTTCGAGTTTGATTTCTAGATAGAGTCGGTTTGAGTTTATTTTTTGCCCGTTAGGGTGCCTCACTATTTGGGTAGCAGGCACAATCTAATTTTTATTTGTGATTTAGAATATGCTCTTAGTTTTTTAAAATTTTGAGTTGTTATTATCGAAGAAGATAAAAACAATCTAATTTTTATTCGCGATTTACAAAATGTAATTTTTTGTACTTGAGATTTATAATTTTGAGTTGTTATCGAAGATGGGGAAACTCCTATGTATTTACTGTAGCTGTATCCAGCCTTGTATTACCAACTTCAATAGGTTCACTCATTTCAGTCTAGAGGTTCAATTACAGCGACTAGTACATGAATAGGTGATAATGGAGGTAGATCCAAGGACAGAGTAAACTCAATTTGAGTTGGCTCAGAAACAAGTACAAAGGGTTCTATGGTGGAGGATTGAACAGAGATTTTTTGCAAAGAGATTTTGATCATTGTGGATAACTGTCCAGTTTGCAAGAAGTTATTCAACATGTTTGGTTAGGGAAAAAGGATTTGTTGGTGGTTCTGTCAGTATGTCTTTTGGATTAGGCAAAGACTTAGGGGATTCAACATCAGCAGAAATCAGCAGATTTTGTATCAATTTCATCATAATCAGAATCAATAGGTAATAGGTTCATATTTTACGGAAATAAGCGCAAAAGATAATTAAGGTTTATCTTTCTCATAAGAGTAACTAAACACAATAATATCCTCAGGATTTGGAGTTTCTTGTGCAGCTGATGAATTTCATCCCTCTTTGGAGAAAGGACCACAAGGGTTCTCTGCCTGCTGCTTCTATCTTCCCTGTAACAACCAGCGCCATGGTTTTTGATCACTCGAACTGCACCTCCTTGCTGTATTTGTTTGTGAGTTACTCAAAGTTGAAAAAATCTGCTTTGTTGAAAGCTTTGTCCAGCTCCATTTTTAGAGAGAGAGGAGAAATATTAGAGAGCTTTTAGAGAGGACAGTGAATTCAGAGCAGTGTTGTAAAAATCCCGCCTAGGCACCGATTAATCAGCGCTTAGGCGTTAGGCACCCCTAGGTTGTAGCGACTTTCCGCCTAGCGTCTAACTCGGCCAACAAGGCCGAATTCGGTCGAGTTAACTCGTCCATTTCGGTCGAGTTAGCCGAGTTAATCTGGCCGACTCGGCTTTGCTATTTTTTTTTTCATTTATATATATATATATATATATATATATATATATATATATATATATATATATATATACACACTAGCATTTTGTACGCGCGATGCGCGAAAATTCATACCCAATATTAAAACATTGATAAATATAATACAAATAATTAAAAATTATAATTTGAATTGTATATACACAAATAATATATGTATTTTGTACACACATATATAATTTATCATTCATAGAAATTTAATTAAAATATAATTAAGTATTAAATTAATATATAATGATTTTAATAAAATAATAATTAAAAAATAAAAAAAGATATGATAGATATAGGTGTATGTTAATAATAATGTGTTATCAATATTAGAATTAAAAACTAACGGTGTTATAACGGTGTAAGGGTAATTTTATCTAATAACATTGGAATGTACAACATTTAAAGTAAAATGTACACCTTTATTTGTATACAATAAGATGACATAAATCAAGGATATAACCTTTTATATATATATATATATATATATATATATATATATATATATATATATATATATATATATATATATATAATATGACATATATGCACCTACACATGTGCACTGTTTTTCTTATGTTTAGTTAGACGCCTAGGCCTGTCTAGGCCGTCTAGGCGCTAGGCGCTACTCTACCGCCCGACTAGCGCCTAGCGCCTATTACAACCATGATTCAGAGAGAAAGACAAATGAATTCTGAAATTGAATCAAGACTAAAAGGTAAGAGAGAGATGATAAAGATGGCAGACGGTTTCAGTCGAGTTGGAGAACGTGAGGGACGTGATGGTATGAGTTAGTCGTTTTTGATTGACCCACGTCTCCATTGCATTAAATTTTCATGTCTGTTAAAGTGACTTTTTCTCTTAGCAATTAAGAATGATATTTCAGAGTAATTTCGTTAAGTAAAGACTTTTGGTTATGTGAATTATATACACTAGTTCTATGATACAGTACACATACCAAGAAGTGAAGTTTTGGAAGAATGATACAGTGCACATACCAAGTTCAAACTTTAATAAATTGAAACTGGCTGCATCCAAATTAAAGATTTTGTAAAGATGTCTGCTAGCTGCTTGTCCGTGGAGATATAGTGAAGCTTGACTTCATCACTTTCTACTAATTCTCTGATGAAATGGTGATGAATGTCGATATTCTTGGTTCGGGAGTGTTGAACTGGGTTCTTGGCAATGTTGATTGCACTGGTATTGTCACAATGTAGGTCCATAGTGTTGTACTTGAAGTCATAGTTGTTCAGCATATGTTTCATCCACAACAAGTCAACAACTGCGTGCAACAGCTCCCGGTGGCTACATATTTAACGTCGACAGTTGATAATGAGATCGAGTTCTATTTCTTACTGAACCAAGAGACAAGATTTTTACCTATAAAGAAGCATCTTCCCGAAGTGCTTTAGCGATCCTCGACATTTCCGGCCCAATTCGCATCACTATATCCGAGTAGTTAAGATCCTGTATCCCTAGCATACCAGGCCGTTATTAGTGGTTCCTTTAACATACTTGATTATCCTTTTGACGACATTCTGGTGTGATTATTTTGGATTCGCTTGAAATCTAGCGTAAAGGCCAATGCTATACATAATGTATGGCCTGCTTGCTGTCACAAAATGTAGACTCCCTATCCTATTTTGATAATATTTAGCATCCGCAGACTTTTAAGCTGTGACATTTGATAGCTTAGTAGTGGTTGATAGGGGTATACGAGCCTCTTTGGCATAATCCAGACCAAACCTTTTTAACAGGTTCTTGGCATACTTTGTTTGTGAGATGAACAAGCCCGACTGAAGTTGCCTTATAGGGAGTCCAAGAAAATAGGTTAGTTCACCAATCATGCTCATCTCAAATTCTTGTTGCATTACTTCTATGAACTATTCTCTGCTAGTTCTAGATGTAGACCCAAAGATAATATCATCCACGTAAACTTGTGCCACAATAATGTGCTTTCCATGAAATTTTATGAATACTGTCTTGTCTACTCCCCCTTGCTAATAGCCATTGTTCAGCAAATATTTGAGTCAGTCTTTCATACCATGCGCAGGGAACTTGCTTGAGGCCATAAAATGCCTTCTTCAATTTAAAGACATAACCCTGATGATGTTGATCTTCAAATCCTTTTGGTTGCGCTACATAAATGTCCTCGTTTAGAAACACGTTTAGAAAGGTTATTTTAATGTCCATTTGATGCAGTTTAAACTTTATAAACACGACACTGTCAAGAGAAACCGCATGCATTCCAGCCTAGCGATCGGAGTAAAGGTCTCATCATAGTCATTGCCTTTAATTTGTGAGTATCCTTGAGCAACCAACCTAGCTTTATTTCGAGCCACATTTTCGTGCTTATTTGTTTTATTGCGAAATATTCACTTAGTACCCACGACATTTACATTTCGCGGGCAAGGTACTAGATCCACACTTCCTTTTGCACAAACTATGCTACTTCATCTTGCATTGCTTGAATCCAATGTTCATCTATGAGAGCTTCCTTGTAGTTCTTGGGTTCTATAAGTGAGGTGTAGCATCGATTACAAGCCAATTCCACAAGACTACTTCTTAGCATCCTTCTTGTTCTTACTCATGTTGTTGGTGTTCCAATAATGTTAGAGTTAGAATGGCTCTTTTGAATATGAGTAGGTATAGATTTTGGTACATTGTTTGTGTCTAACTCATCCAACTGTTCTGGTTCAAAATCTGGTTCGTCCTTTTGTTATGCTTTTGGCTTTTCTAACTTTACTGTATCTGACTATCAGTTGATGACTTGCTGGTTTTGAGGATGGTTCACATGCTAGTTCTTGAGGCTGATCATCTATGATGACATTTAATTTTTAAATTCTTGAACAGTCTTGAGTCTTTTGTTGTAGACTCTATAAGCTCGACTTGTAAGAGAATATCCCAAGAATATGCCTTCATCACTTTTTGGTTCAAACTTCCCAAGTTTTTCCTTGTCGTTTAACACATAGCACTTGCTTCCAAAGATATGAAAATATTTCAAGTAAGGTTTTTTACCTCTCCATATTTGATACAGAGTTTTTAATGTTCCAGACTGTAGATAGACCCTGTTGATAATATGACATGTAGTATGTAGAGCCTCAGTCCAGAAAAATTGTGAGAGATTCTTGCTATTTATCAACACTCTGGCCATTTCTTGGATGGTGCAGCTTTTGCACTCCACAACTCAATTTTGTTGAGGCATTTTTGGTGCCGAGAATTCATGTCAGATACCATGATCATCACAAACACTACAAGAAAAATGCACATAGACAACACTAGAAAGACAACAGTTTTTAAGAAAAGTGTTGTCTTTTGTATAAAAGACAACAGTTTGGTCCAAAACCGTTGTCTTTGATGCAACACTTTTGTCAAAGACAACGGTTTTTACTTAACCGTTGTTATAAGTGTGTTGTCTTTGTGCATTTCGTGAAAAGACAACACCACAACGACAACGGTTTTTTAAAATCGTTGTCTATGTGCGTTTTTTTTTTTTTTTAAATAAGACAACGGTTTTTTTAACTGTTGTCGTTGGTGTGTTGTCTTTAAGCGCACTGGAATACACAGCACTAAAATGACAACAGTTGTTTAAAACCGTTGTCTTTGTGCGCTCTTTTTTTTTTTTAAAAAGACAACGATTTTATTTAACCGTTGTCGTTGGTGTGTTGTCGTTAAGCGCACACGAATACACAACACTAAAACGACAACGGTTTTATATAACCGTTGTCGTTGTGCGTTCTTTATTTGTTTAAGACAACGGTTTTATGTAACCCCTTGTCTTTGATATGTTGTCTTTAAGCGTATTTGAATACACAACACTACAAAGACAACGGTTTTAAAAAACCGTTGTCTTTGCGCATCATTATTTAACAGGTATATAAAATAAAAATAAGGATTTTAACAACAAGAGTCGAACTTATAACCTCAAACTTAACAAGTAAGCAATCTAACCAACTAAGCAACACAAACTCTTATATCTAAAGGTGCAATATCTGGTATATAATTGGGTTACTTCTGTGTTGTTTGTGAAAACCAAGACTACAATTTTAGAAAATAGTTGAAGCTTAGCTATATGTTGTTAATCGACCCTTCCAGCTAGCGCATGACTAACAAGGTTAGCTATATGTTGTTAATCGATCCTTCCGGCATGCCTGGGACACGTTGAGAATGGATATGAAAGAGTAGTTGATCGATGCCGTACAGTTAGCTATATCCCATTTCTTTTGTCGCGATCTTAATTAGCTCTATGTTCATAATTACCAAACTATATATTCATAATTTTTGAATTGAAATGCATATTCATAATGATTGAATAACTCTGATCTATATTCACAATTACAGAACTTTATGTTTTATAATTTGCGATGTTCATATTCCCAAGTGTTGATAACTATACAGTTTAGAAATTATGAATCAACAATACAAAAATTATGAATCTGCAGTATAGAAATTATGAATTTACTGTATAGAAATTATTAATCTATACAACTGTATTTAAATTAGAAATATACTGTATAGAAATTATGAATCTACATTATAGGGAAATGGGACGTGATCTTTGTATTTGGGCCGCTAGTCTAGGCTTGTACCTCGGGCTTTATACGTACTATTTTGGACCTATCACCACGAGTTATAAAGCTACTATTTTCTTGTCCCCCGTTCTGTACCTATATACCTATAATAAATCATCAATATAGTTATTTAATTTGTAAAAAAAATGAAGATTTAGTATAAAATAAAAATAAAACTTTCGTTATTTTACTTATTATATTAGATATATATATATATATATATATATATATATATATATATATATATATATATATATATATATATATATATATATATATATTATATGTTATTCTTTAAAAGAAATAAAAGTTAAAATAATTTTGATTTTAATATATATTAGATATATATGTTATTCTTTAAATGTTGACTTTCAAGACTTACACAATTTGTAAAAAATCTTATTCCCTCTCAAATCAAATAATTCCCTCTTTGTAAATTTTGACTTCATTTGAATATTAACACTAAAGCGCCAAAGAAGGAATTAAAACACAAAACAAAACTAATTTTGCCAAAACACTTCAACGCAAACACACAAAACCACCGTCGCCTCCCAGTGCCGAAGTCCAGAAGATACCGCCCTTGCCTCCGACAGTGCCGTCGCTGCCTCCAACCTCCGCCGTCGTCGCCGTCTCCAACTTCCGCCGTCGTCGCCGCCTCCAACCTCCGCCGCCGTTGCTGCATCATCCCTCCAGGTTAGTCCTCAATTTTTTTTAACCCTAATCCCTAATTTGGATTTAGCGGAATCGGACATCAAGAAAGCACTTGAAATTGATCAAGATAACAGGGCTGTAAAAGTAGAGTACAGAATGTTGAAAGAGAAAATTAGAGAGTACAACAAGAAGGATGCACAGTTCTACAGCAACATTTTTGCAAAGATGAGTAAAATGGAGCAAGTTAAACCAGCGGTATGTTTGTTGACTTATAGTTTTCAGCTGTTGTGTTGTGTTCTGATGTATTCTAACAGTGTTTTGTGTTAAAATATGTATATATACAGGGCACGACTGCAAAGCATGAAGCAACTCCCATGGTGATAGATAGTAAGGCCTAATCAAAATGATGGAGCAGTAAAGGTGTCATTTTTCACCTTCCTACCAACTCAAATCTATAATGTCTACTATGCTTGCTTGCTATCATCAAGTCAGTGTGCAAGGTTTTTTTTTTTTTTTTTTTTTTTTTTTTTTTTTTTAAATTAAATGTTGTTTATTGTATGTAATTACTACGCTGCATGATTTGGCTGTTATAAATAAAGCTCTTATTATTTACCACTTCTCTCTTGCAATTTTGCTTTTAGAAATTGAATTAATTATTTGACAAGTATATTTGAGAAATTGAATTAATTATATGACTCTACCATTAGAAGACATCACTCACTATTGATACTTCATCAATTTGAAATCTTGGAAGTGTCACCTTAACTAGTTCAAAAAAAAAGTATATATGATGTTTAACACTAGTGAAAACAAACCAGCTCAGAAGACCAATAAAATGAATCATCTCTTATCCAGATATATCTCTTATCCAATCATAGCAATAATTCTTTACTATCCTTTAGAACAGACAATCAGCCTTTTAAGGTTGTCTACTTAATTAATTTGTTCATATATATTTTGCTATATATTCTGGTTTGCTAAACTATGGTGATTACAATAAGGTGGGTATGCATCGATTTGTTGAAAAAATTGTGAACATGATGAAAGTGGAGAAAATGTTTGAACCTGACGGTGGACCTATTATTATGAATCAGGTTAGAATTGAAGCTAAGGAAGAAGATGGATTATATTGTATATTGGCTTAATTGTATAACTATTATTGTCTTTGTGTTTACTGTAGTTTGAAAACGAGTATGGACCAGTGGAGTGTGTTATTGGTGCCAAAGGTAAAGCTTATAGAAAATGGTTTTCGCAAATGGTTGTAGGTCTCAACACTGGTGTCCCTTGGATTGTCTGTAAACAAGACGACGCCCCCAATCCCAGGGTAAGTAGATTGTATAAATAGGTGCTAGAACTCTGGACTGCATGGTAAGCCTGGATCGGAACAGAATTATTCTAACTCTCTCTCTTTTGATTCACTCTTAATTAGCTTGCTTGCTTCCATGAATTCAGGTTTCCATCATATGGAAGTCCGATTGCTAAAAGATCTGTAGAAGACACAGGTTTTTCAGTGGCAAGGTTCGTCTAGAATAATGGTTCATACTTCAACTATTACATGGATAGTTCTTACCCTGCAGGTATGGCCGGCGACCAGATTTTTTAATTTAATTTCTTGGTCTTCTGATCTTACCCTAATCCCTAATTTCTTATTTGTATTGTTGAATTTTCCATATATGAAAGCTATGAATGTTAATGTGTGCTGAAGATCAGAATGTTCTTAATTTATTGAATTGATTGGTGAATTCTTGATTTGGGAATATGAAATTGTTAGGTTTGAGGTTTCAAAGGTGATAGGGTTGTGATAATGAAGCCTTCGACACTGCTAGATCAATCTAGCAATTTTGGTGCAGAAATTGGACCTTAAACTGAGGGCTCAGCAACTAAAAATGATAAGAAGGGGGCTGAGCTAGTGGATTCTGATCAGGCTGCTCAAAGAAAGGGAAAGGATAAAGTCATTGGTGCAGTACGTAAGGAACTAGGAAAGGCTCTGATTTGTGCTGAAGTAAATGATACTCTGTGTATTGTGAAATTTACCGATTAAGGAACTGAGGGTACAGATACTGGTATGAAGATCTGAGTTAGTATCTGGGAGGCACAAGGGAGGACCACTTGACTTAGTTTTGTGATTGTTTGCAGCTTTACTACACACTTCCTCCTATGGTCCAATGTTGGTGGCAGTATGCAAATAATAGTTTGGAGAGATGCAAAGGTATCATGATGTAGAGTTTATTATCTCTCTTAGCTCTAGACTTCACATTCAGAAATACTAAGAAATGAATTTATGCTAGATTGATGTTTGGTTGTATTTGTTTGGTTGGGACATTAGATTTCGTGTGTGGGACCTTCTTAGTCATCGCATATGCTAGATTAAGCGTCTTGTTATGAATAGTTTGAGTATGAAAGTGGTGAGAGTAAGAGGGCAGTATTGCTTTTTCAAGTGTCTTTCATTAAAGAAGCAAGTTGCCATTTTAGACTCTAGTATGCCATTTTTGTGTTTCTTGTCTAGCAAGTTGCCATTTTAGAGAGCTTTCGGAATTACTCCAAACTTATTTTGCATTTCATTGCAAATTATTTATATCTATACTAATTTATTTTCTTACTTTTTACATGTAGTTTTGACAAGTTGATTATGACAAAGCGGTTATTGATCTGGTGCGATCTGAATGGGCCGATATTCTATCAAGTCCTATAGAGTAGGTATGATTTGGTCATTAGAACGTTGTGATCATTTTGGACTTGAATTGGTTCGTGGAATTGTTTTTTGTGTAGTAGTATTATGACTTGGATGATAATTAGAATTGGTTATGGAAATCTTTTGACTTGTTATTTTGAACCTTATTAGCTTGTGCACAATTATGTAACTACACTTTGCAATATATGGTGAATGGATAAATTGTTTTCTTTTATACGATTATAAATTAAGCAGGTGAAAAACGGTTAAAAACCGTTGTCTATTTTACAATAGACAACAGTTAGAAACCGTTGACTTTTCTACAAAAGAGAACAGTTTATGGGTGTGACAAAAGCGATTTCAACAACACACAATAGACAACGATTTATAACTGTTGTCTTTTAAAGAAAAGACAACAGTTAAAAACCGTTGTCTAAGTATGTGACTTTTAACAACACTGGTTTCAACAACGCTTAATAGACAATGGTTAAAAAACCGTTATCGTTGGTAGAAAAGACAACGGTTAATAACCGTTGTCTATGTGCGTGACTTTTAACAACACCGGTTTCAACAACACTTAATAGACAACGGTTAAAAAACCGTTGTCGTTGGTAGAAAAGACAACGGTTAATAACCGTTGTCTATGTGCGTGACTTTTAACAACACTGGTTTCAACAACACTTAATAGACAACGGTTAAAAAACTGTTGTCGTTGGTAGAAAAGACAACGGTTAATAACCGTTGTCTATGTGCGTGACTTTTAACAACACCGGTTTCAACAACACTTAATAGACAACGGTTAAAAAACCGTTGTCGTTGGTAGAAAAGACAACGGTTAATAACCGTTGTCTATGTGCGTGACTTTTAACAACACCGGTTTCAACAACACTAAATAGACAACGGTTAAAAAACCGTTGTCGTTGCTAGAAAAGACAACGGTTATTAACCGTTGTCTATGTGCGTGACTTACAACAACACCGGTTTCAACAACACTTAATAGACAACAGTTAAAAAACCGTTGTCGTTTCTAGAAATGACAACGGTTAAAAAACCGTTGTCTATGCGCGGGACTTACAACAACACCGACTTCAACAACAGAAATTATACCCCTACAATGTGCATTTTTCTTGTAGTGAAAATAGCTAAATTCCTTGTTCTCAAACACTGTTCCATGATCAGATCGGAGTCTCACTATTTTGACAATGTGTGAATCCTTATCCTTTTGGAGCTTTAGGCACAATTTCTGAAATTCCTCAAAAGCTTATGACTTATGCCTAAGAAACATAACCCAACAAAAACGAGAGTAGTCATCAACAACAACAAAGATATAGCGCTTACCTCCAAGGCTTTCAACTTAAGTGGGTCCAACCAAATCCATATGAAGAAGCTCTAAGCAGAATGAGGTATTGATGTGACTGAAGGATTTGTGAGGTTATTTGTTTGCCCATTTGACATGGTCCACACACACTTGTGTTCTTGACTTTGAACTTGGGAACACCTCTCACACATTCATTATTAATCAGCTGTCCCATGTCTTGGTGGTTCATGTGACCGAGTCTTTGGTGTCAAAGTTCTGTGTCATCTATATATGATCTACAACAAAGCAAGTTAGTAGAAAGTATAAAACAATTGTCAAATGAACGTATACCTTCCATAATCAATTGATCCTTTTCATCTTTGACAATGCACTTATCCTTAGTAAAACCTACATTCAATTTCTAGTCACACAGTTGGCTTATAGTTATTAGGTTTACCTTGAGACCTTGAATGAGCAGAACTTTGTTCAGCGATGGCAGTCCAGGAACATTTAAGAAACCTATACCACTAATTTCTCTTTTGACTCCGTCTCTAAAAGTGACATGTCCCTCATAGGGTGCAACATTCTTTAGGAAGTTTTTGTTTCCAATCATGTGACGGGAGCATCCACTATCAAAGTACCACTGTCCTTTTGTTTCCAGTCATGTGACCCAAAGTTGCTTACCAGCATGCATGATCCACTTTTGTTTTAATTTTTCTCTTCTCTGATCACGGTAGAACTTGTAGCATTTTGGTATTGTATGTCCCTTCATATTACAGTAGTGACATGTAGGAACATATTGCTTTAACCTCAACCTTATTTGTCCTTTGCCTAAACTAGTACCTGCACTAGCATAAACAAATCTTGTTAATTGAAACTTATTTGAATTTTGTGTTATCCTAGTTCTTTTTGACGTTAGGAGATTTTCCAGCGTCAAGTATCTCATCTAGTGTGGAGGTAGTGCTCCTCATTTGTATTTGTTTTTTTGAGAGTATCCAATTCACTAGTCAGGTGTGCAACCCTTGAACTAGAATCTGCCAGTTCTTTGTCTTTTTCAACAAGTTGATTTCTCAAAATTTCAACGTTATTTTCAAGTACTCCTTTCTTGGAAACAGTAATGCTTTGAGCTTTCAGAAGAAGTTTCCACTTCTTATACAATTAGATATAGGACTTTTCAAGTTCTTCATAGGGAAGCTTGTCAACATCTTCATGATCTGAATTACTTTTAGGTTCAGGATGTTGTTCAGTGAAAGTTGCAGTGAAAGCCATGAAGTTTCCTGAAATTTCTTCATATGCATTTGCAATTTCTTCTGTAGTTTCATCATCACTCCATTTGGTTACTTTCATGGGTTTCTTCCTTTTCAAATAGGTGGCACATTCTGCCTAGATGTGTCTATAGCATTCACATTCCCTACACTGTATACCTTTGTTCTTGGTCTTATTTTCTAAAAATTGTCCTTGACTGTTGCGTGATTGGTTTCCAATTTGATTAGATTGGCCTTGATTTCTAGAGGAATTCAAATTCGCAGATTTTGGGTTGGACTTCGATGTCGATCTAGCAGGCACAGTATTTCGGGATGACTGATTTTTGCCTCCGCAATTTCTACGATTAAACAATTTGAAAATCTTGGAAAAGTTCTTTGAGATCAAAGCGACACTCTCCTCATTCATCACCTTATAGTCAGACTCCAAACCACTTCCATATGCCACAAAAGCAAAGATCTTATTCTTCTTATGCTAATCATTTTGAGAGAGCATTTCCATTTCGTAAATTTGAAGGTTGCTCATAAGCTCTGCAATTGTTTTCTTTTCCCACCCAGCACTTTCTTAAATCGTAGTGACCTTCATCAGGAATCTTGAAGGAAGATAACGCAAAATCTTACGGACCAATTTGTCTTGAGCGAAGGGTTCCCCCTAGAACTGCAGCCTCATTCTTTAGTTCTTGGATCCAGGTGTTGAACTGAGCAATTGTCTCTTCTTCACACACTCTCAATTCCTCAAATTTTGTATATACTTGCAGCAATTTCATCTGTTTGACAGAGGTGTCTCCTTCATACAAGGTTTCAAGAATGTCCCAAGCTTATTTAGTCTGAGTGAACCTTGCAATTAACTCAAATTGGCTCTCATCAAGAATTCCAGTAATGGTGTTTAAGGCCTTATTGTTGTTGTCACTAGTAGTGATTTCTTCAGTAGTCCCCAATATGATGAAGCCAACTCAACATTTTTATCTTCCTTTGTGCGAAAGGGTTGTATCCATCTATGAGTAACAGCCCCTCCAAACATTTACTCCTTGAGTTTGTAGGTAGATTTTTGTACGTGCCTTCTAGTAGGGACAATTAGATCCTACTAGCTGAGGTGGTCTCGCCTGCCCTTCCATTTTTCAGTCTGCAAATAAAGGAACACAAAACCAGCGCAAAATAGGGTATCCACACACTTACAAGAGAGCGAGAGTATTCAACCAGGAAAACTAAAATTAAGAAGACAATTCTTGGAACTCGCTCTGATACCAAGTGAAATTAGGCAACTAATGCCCTAAGTCCAATTACTTATGAATGATTTAAAGTCAATTTAAACGATAAGCATTGTACACAACTATTCAGGTTTACGTTTCTTAATCGAGTTTGTTGTCTGAACTAGTTCAGTAACTATAACAGTGCGTAGTTCACCCAAACAACAAATAGTAGTTAACTAGAAAACAGTTAACTGTCTTGAACTTTAGCCCGAACTATCTCATTGACTGGTTCAGTTTTCAATGCTCTGAGTCTATCATGAGACTTCCTTGAACTAACTCTTTATGCTAGTACATAATCTATCTACTTAAGTACAAAGGCTGAACTAAATCTTGAACAGCTACTTTGTTCCATAAAACATTAGCAATATAGAGGGGTAAAAGATAATTGTTTTAAAACTCCTTTCTTTCACAAGCAATCATTTTATTAACAATAATTTATTTTATTGTTTAAACTTAAAATCTACCATTCTATCGGCATCCAATTCGTCCAATCCACTATTAACAAATCGGATTGGATTGGATCCACACCCATAGCGAATGTTGATGCGGATGGAATTTTAAAATCCACCTTTAGCAGACTGGATGCATATTCACCCTAAATCTGCTCCATGGATCACCCCTACTTTCAACAAATATAAGTTTGTGTATGTGGTAATTGGGTTTAAGAAACTATTTTCACCTTCTAAGTTGTTCATAATATTAGTCAAGGATCTCTCAAAGTGGAAGTGTGTACCTGTAACACCCCCATTTCTAAACTAGAGAAACTCTTAAAAATACATACAATTTTTGTTTTTTTTTTAGAAAAAATGAATGCAATTGCGGAAGCGAATATAAAACTAAAGGAAACGGAAATGGGTGTTACCGCCACGCTCAAGTATTTCTCTATACCCAAACGCTAAGGATAAAAACAATGAACTGAAACAACTCAAGGTACGTATAAGAAAACAACTAACAATCAAACTAACTAACTAATAAATGATATCTCTAGATGGTTCGCTCGCTCTCTTGTCCAATGCTCATGCAAGACACCTGCAACCAGAGTTAAAAATAGAGCACAAAGAAACACACAAATTCAGCATAAAGCTTGTAAAATAATAAGAACCAGTACACATGGAATCCAATAAGGGTCTATAGTGGGCTCATCACAAGGCCCATAACTACATCCTTAAAGAATCATTGGTGGAAGAAACAAGAAGGTCCAATAATAATTCAATTCAATAGAGGAAAGTATTATAGTGACCCATTTCAAGTGATATCATGGATCAAAGACAATGCTTACAAGATTCGAGGTCGAATCATTTTCAAGAAGGGGAGAATGATGCGGCCCAACATAATGAAGATCCATCAAGAATACCAATTGGGCCAATCACACGGCCCAAGTCCAAATGATTAAGACAACTCTTCATTGGTGATATTCAAAGATGGTGGAAATCCAAGTCAAGCCCATTTGCAAAAGATGAAGAAGAATTCAAGGATTTTTATAATTGTTTAAGTGCTGATTTTGGAGATTAAATTAGGCCCAAATAAGCCCTATTATTTTTGGTCATCATTAATTTAAATTGTTTGGCATAAAAGAGAAAACACTAGTTGTATTTAGAAAGGATTCCTTAAATCCTTTTCTAAATAAAACTCTATTTACTTGTTTTCTAGATTAGGTTTAGGACTCTTTTTCCCATTGTATTTAGAATTATAATGCTGCCCCTATACCTATAAATAGGGCACATCCATATCAGTTTCGAGGAGGCTTTAATTCAATAAAATTCTTAAGTTTTTATTTACACTTGTGTAAGAAACCTTATGGCTAATTGTGGACTCAATTAGTGGCTAGTCGTGGACTCGACTAGCAAATTGATTCGTGGACTCGAATCAATCTTACTTTCTTCAACCTTAGATTTAGGTTCGTGGACTCGTTCTTGAATCGAAGGAAACTAGATCCGACTCTAGTTGATTGAAGATTGCATCATCGAGGTACTTGAAGCTACAATGGGATTCTTCTAAGTCTTTGAGGTTTCGAGACAAAGGGTTTCTCGTGAGGCTTAAGGTATTTTGATCAATCTCTATCTTTACTTTTGAGAGCATTCTTGGGACAATATTCCATCTTTATTTGAACCTTGGACTAGGTTCATATCAATTTGGTATTCAGAGCCTAGGTTTATCTCATTATCGTTAGAAATTTTATTTTCTTTGGTTCCTTAGGTTTATCACGTTCTTATCTTACATACTAATTTTTTTTCGTGTCTTATTCATTAAAAAACCCCAAAAAAATTTCTTTTGCATTCTAGATTATTTTCTTGAATCTTGATACATGTTCTTTAGTTTCTTGAAAGCCTATCCCGAAAGTGTTTTCCCTTTTTCCTATTCAATATCAATGATACC